TGAGAAGCTAAACGAGTTAAAACGTTTTTGAAGCGAACGCAGCAGGATAAAGTAAATGGACTTTGATGTGATCATCAGCCGGACATTAGCCGTGTTTACATGCACAAAATTTTTTAATCGGATTGAAATGTATTCACATTAAATAATCCGAATGTACCGTTTACATAGACACAATCCGATCATGAAAAGTGTTTACATGCACCGGAGTTTTATTCAGAATAAAAGTCCGGACATGCGCAGTGTTGTAAACTTTCAGCTCTACTTCCGTGTTGCAAACGTAAACAAAGCTCCTCTGTGCGCTCAGGACGGACCTGTGTCAGTTTTTAATAATGGTAGAGACGCCGTTACTCCTCGGTTGAGCTGCAGCCTGCAGATGAACCGATTAGGTGTTTACATGACGCATTTTTATTCCGAACGGTTGTTTAATCCGATTACTTTTGTCCATGTAAACGTGGCTATTGAGAGCAACAGACAGAGGTTTATGTCACGGGGGCAGTGCCGAGCTCGCTTGAGGTGATAGACGCATGCGCTATACGTAACGTGAAACCTGACTAGAGTTGGAAAAAAGAGCGCACAAGACACTTAATTTGGCTTAAAATATAGACATTCTGACAAATAAGTAACTGTTTGTCACCTTACCGCAGCTTAAAAGGCAGAGGGTGTCGGTCTTTTCTGCTCAGATTCAGCTATCAGAGCATGAAGCTAATGTTTACTTACAATGCTAATGCTCTCTTACTCTCTGGCGCTCAAGAGGTAGAGGAGCCAAATAGCTGGCTCACTGCTTCCAACTAGTGGTCAGAGGCTGAACTACAACAACAAAACTTAAAGGTCAGTTTGTCATCACACATCAGTTTCTTAGCTGGAATTGATGTCACAGCTGCACAGTTCCCATGGAGATAGAATTGATCCTAATACGCAAATTAGGTGCGTCATCACCTAATTTGCATATTTGCGTCATCACCTAATTTGCATATTTCGTCATCACCTAATTTGCATATTTCATCATCACATAAATTGCATATTACGTCATCACCTAATTTGCATATGTGGATCAAGTCCATCTCCATTGCTTRGAYTGTGTTMATCTCAGACCGTTTTAACTGTCGTACTGAACAGATYGCTTTTTGAGAACRAGTAATTGTTAGAGAATTTATTAAAATGTCTTTTTCAAGATACCCAAATCAGARAAGTGTCTGGAACCAGGGCTCGCTTTACCAGGAGAACGAGCGTTTGAAAGTCTTGCTCAGAGATGAACAGGCAAAATGGTTACATGAACATACCAGTGCTGCCAAGCTGAGGCAGGAACTGTTTAACACTAGGGTCCAGCTGGAAGATCAGAAGTCTCTGACAGAAGTTTTTATCCAGAAGGAGAAAGAGATTCGGCAAGAAATGCTGGAGAGAATTCAAAGGTACCGTAAAGCAGATACTCTGAGATGTGCCAGCATCGCTTCCCACGTGGTTCTTCAACAGGAACACAAAGAACTGAAAGTGTCCTATGTTGTCAGCCAGGAGAAACTTTCATCTGAGCTCCAACTGGAAAAACAAAAAACTCTGGAGCTCCAGAAATACCTAGATGAGGCCAAAAACTTGAATGACCAGCTGAGCTTGGAGGTTGCTTCGCTTAGTCAAGAGTCTTTGAAGTTCCAAGAAGAATCTGAGGAGAACCGGCGTCTGTTAGATGCGGAAAAAAACAAGTCGATTCTTTTACAACAAAACATGTCAGAGCAAATCGAGGCTTTGWCGAAAAACGCTCAAGAAAATCAGAAAAAAATGATGGAAGAGCTCCAACAAATGAAAACGGCTTACCAGGATCTTAAAGTCAGCAAAGACTCCGATATTCTGACTTACAAGGTGTTGTCGGAAGCATTTTCACAAGAGCTCAACGCATCTTTGCAGGAAAACAAGAAAGAGCTGGCGAAAATGAACACCCTCCAGTCAGAAAACAAGACCCTGCAAGAGACGGTGGCTCAGATGATCCAAGAGCTGCAAAATATGAAAACTGAGAACCAGACTGAGCGTGAAAAGATGGAAACAGCTTACCAGCAACTTAAAGCCAGCCACGATATAGAAGTCCAGACTTACAAAATCCAGTCTGAAACATATTTACAAGACCTCAACAAACAAATTAAAGATTATTTTCGGAGTGAGAAGCAATACCTGCAGATAACCAACTTTCTCCAGGCAGAAAACAAGACTCTGCAGGACATTGTGACCCAGAAGACCCAGTTGTTGGAAAAACAGAAGGGGTTCAAACAGATGGAATCATCTCAGAGACACCAGAAAGCCAGCCTGGAGGTGGAGGCTCCGTCAGAAGCTTTGTTTCTCAGCCGAAACGTTCCAGCTGGCAAAGCCCTCCTGCAGGTCTCTGGTGGTGAGACCACAACTCCAGAGAAAAACACATCCTTCTGGGAAAGAACCCGACACCTCCTTGGCCTGACGAAGCCCAAGAGTTGGAAAAAAAAAAAACATTTCCAACTAACGCACCCACACTAGCACACAAAACACTACAACATAAACCAGTGAATATTTTATTTTATTTCTTTCTTTTAACTTTTATTATTTTATTTAAAAAAGAAGGGCAACACAGTGGATC